TTTAACTAGTAGCAACTGTTCTGTGCATTAAAGTAAAGCAGCCTTTTGCATTTGATATTTATGTTGAATGACACCTGCTTGAAATCACTATGTCCCAAGCATTTTATATTTTTACTTTTAAAATTCTGCTTCTACCAGCTGTTTTGACAGGCAGCTGGTATTGCCATCTCATGCTTGACAGATTTATGTCATGCACGGACTGAGCTTTTTTACTATGCTTTTAAACTGGAATATTGGACCAGGTACAGGTTTTAGTTAGTGCTACTGGCAATGTCTATTCCTTCATAATTTGTTATTTAAGGTTTAGAAATATTAATATTCCTTCTTTTCATTTATTAGGTTGTTTATTTCTAAAAATATAGTCTTGAAATTTATGCAGTCACTTGTGCACTAGAAGATGGGTGTGTCAATCAGTGCAGTTAAAGTAGAACTGCTTTTTATGGTACTGCAAACTGTTAGCTTAAAAGGACTTCAGTATTCAAACAGAACTGTGCTTAGAATGTAAATCAAAAACTGTCATGGGAGTAGTGGCTACTGAATTAATGCATGTAATAAACCTGTCACAATGATAAAGAGCTTCTGTCATAGTGGTGAGCAATCTCATTTGATGCTTGATCTATAGGTGAAAAGTGCAAACAGTCCTTTTAGATGTAGGAGAAAACTGTCTGTTTGGTTAGAATCAACTTTTGGAAAGATCTCTGTGTGCTTACATGTGGGAAGAAATATTAGTAGTGTGTTCCTCTAGAGGAGGATGTGTTTCCATACTAGGTAAGAGGTTATCTCCTAATGATTCTTTCTCAAGGAGTATTGTGAGGTACCACTTCTGGAGTCATATTCTTCTGAAAAGCCATTAAAGATTTTCTGCTTTTGTTATACAGGAAAAATCAAATGTCTCGGACAGCTCTGATGCTGTCTCTGTTCTTTTGACAAGACGACTTGCACTTGAGAAACATAGCTTTGTGACTCCTCCTGGTTCCCTTCATTTCCCTTTTTAACACAGTTCATGAATTACTGTAACCTTAAAAAAAGGAGAATGTGACAGGAACACTTGATTAAAGGAGGAAAAGACATGGGGCTGGAGAAGCTCTGAGATATAAAGTATAACAGAAGAGCTAGGAGACAGTGCATGTCTTTGGCATTCGCTCTTCACTAGTGTCGGGTTCACAAGCGTCACCTTGGCTGTTTTTTCTGTACCTGGGAATGCCCATGGACACGGTGTGAGTATTGCTCTCTCCACGGGAAAGGTGGTGGTGGCCTGCTGCCAGGATTGCTCCCTTACCTCATTCTCGTCACTCTTTGTGGTGGTTTTATTTCTGTGCCTTGCATATGTCCATATGGTCCATGTGATGGCTTGGCTGTTTCTTCAGGTAATTTTTAATAACAATGAGAAAGTGACCAAAAAGCTCATCAAAATAACTTCACTGAGGTTCCTAATGAAGATATTTAAAAGCTGAGAAATTTCAGAATTTGAGGTGAAGCCTTAATTAATCCATATGTATATGAAGGTGATTTTTTTTTTCTAAATTCAGTGATTTTCAGTTTGCAGCCCAAAAATATTACCCAGTGCAATAGTGTCAGTTGGAGTGGAGTGTACACTCTGGGCTTTCTTCTGTTGGTTACAGTTGGTGGGCCCCGGTGAGTAGGGTGTGAGTGGCGGGGGGCACTGTGGAGAGCCAACCAAAAGTGGTATTTTAGTTGCATGATTATGGTTTTATCTTAATCATGTTATCTCACAACCTCTGCTTTGTACCTACAGTACACTGTTTCAAATTCATTTTTGAGTGGAATCAAATTGGGAAAACAACTTTCCAGTAGATCTTACTTGCAGCAGAAATTGGAAGATTAATAGAAATTGAGAAAGAAGATTTCTTGTGGTGAAGGCATTTGAATCACAGAATGGTTGAGGCTGGAAGAGACCTCTGGAGGTCATCCTGTCCAAACACTCTGATTAAGCAGGGTCATCTAGAACAGATTGTCCAGGACCTTGTCCTGTTGGCTTTTGAGTATGTCCAAGGCTGGCAACTCCACAGCCGTTCAGGACAGCCTGTGCCGGTGCTGGGTGGAAAGCTGCAGTGCGAGCCCCATCTCTGCTTTCACAGCTCCATCCCATGCATGGGGTGGTTAGTACTTAGCTGACCGTGATGCAGTATTTTATTTCCTCTTCACTAGTCAGTATATGATGCGTAAAGAAAAACTAACCATTTATCAGTTTGTATGGTTTTTATATCTGTAGCGGCTGAGCACTGCTGACAAGTGTGTGCTCAGGTAAAGGAGTGAGTGAGCAGAGGGAAGGTGGGACTGCTCATGGTGTTAATTAGAGTATTCAAACCTGAATTTCAATATGTGTGTACAAGGGGACCAAGCTAGGATTGGACAGTCAGTCTTAACTTAGGCATGTGCTTTACTTGGCAGCTTCTGTATTTTTGATAGTTTTGTGTGTAGTTTTATACAGGTGAATATCGTATACTAAACAGCATTTGACACAAGGAATAAATTACGTCTCCCAGGAGGCACAAAGGGTATGGGATAGGTCTGAAGTTTAGCCTGGTGCAGCTTTTAGAAATCATCAAAAGAATATTCTTGTTTCTATTGTGAATATAATGGATATTTCCTGGGTGATGTATAGGTTGAGGATGTAATTTAGTGTGTTTACCAGAAGGCAGCCAGCCTGCTTGAGAGAGTTCTCTCTCCTTCCTTCTTCATTCTCATTCTCTACTTCCTGTCCTCCCTTCTCTGGAGAATATTTAAATAGAATGAAAAGCTTTGCACAGGAATGCTTGAAACCCCTGTGAGTTAGACTGTGTGAGAACCCATTCTACACTTCTGGCAGATTTTCAGGAAAGCTTGGCCCTGTGTTTCTTGAAGCTATAACAGTACAGAAGCTAAACTTACACTATCCCTTGGGAACATGGCTTAGTAAGATAGGAGAGCTACAGGCTGGGGTTTTCTTGTGCTTTGGAAAGAGAGCATGCCAAGGGGTCACACCTTCAAACAGATACAGTAACCAAATTGGGAGAGGAACCTGCTAAAGCCATAGTGCAGCACATAAGTAAGTTAAAACAAAAACAAAAAAACAGGTTACAGGAGGAACTGTGTTTAAGGAGGAACATTGAATTGTGGATTTTAATTATTATAAAAATAATTTACTTCCACTAATCTTAAATCAGACATATAAAAAAAAGATGCATATTGTAGGATGACTTGAGGACAAATTTGCTCTCCTGCTTGACCACGTTGCCCATGGCTTCTCTTCTCCATCAGTGTTTGCCATGCATTTTCTTCCATAACTTTTGAGTTCATGGTTCACCATGATAAATGAAGTAATGGACTACCTAAGGGTAATGCTAAGGAAGATTGATGGCCGAAATATCAGCAGAACCCTTAGGCTAAAACTAAACGTATGAGAAGTGTGGTGTGTCTTGTTAAAGCTGTGACCAAGAGTTCAGAGTGATTGCACTGTGGAACGAATCACCTTTAACAGATTAGTTTTGGATAACGGATATTATTGTTAAGCTAGGCTGTTTCAACCTGGTATCTCATTTCTATGACTTCTGCTTAGATTTTGTGTATAGACAGTATTTTGTACTTGTCTATGTTAGACATACAGTTTTTCAGAAACAAATACGCACTTTCTACATGATGTTTGCAGATCTGGCTTTCAGATTACTGGAGTTGCAGCATTTTGGACTCTGTGTGTTATAGATTAATTTCTTTTTTTGGAGAATTGTTCTAACCTAGATAGTAAACTAGGGAGGTGTAGCCTTATAGATCTGTTGTTTAATCCCTGATCTCCGTCAATTTTGGGGGGCGATCCGTTGATTCAGTTGATGTAGGTTTCATTTTAAGTCAGAAATTGTGAAAGGCAAAAAGCCCTTCATCTAAGATGTTGTGCATTTTCATCCTTTTAAAAATTGAATAGTCTTCTACTTTGAGCCTCCTCTCCATCCAAACTCTTTGGTGGTTGCTTTGCTCATTCTTTGCTTGCTGGCCTAGAGGAAATTCCCTTTAGAGCTATTTGTGAAGTTACATATTTATTTTTTTTCTTGCAAAAGTAAGTTTTTGGGCATAAATCAAGGTTGTACATGAAAGGAGATTGTCTTTAGGAGCCTTGATGGGTAAACTTGTTACCTGATTTGCAATGGGGAAAAATGAAAGGTATTTCTAAATAATAGGAATAATGTGAAAGAAAGAATATTCAGACTTGAAGGACAGAAACAGAGCAATTGGAGAGAACGATTCAGAGAACTAGAGTAGTTGCAAGTGAAATTAGGGACTTAAGAAAATTAAGAACCTCAAGTCAAAACATAAGTACATTTATTAGTTGTCTTATAAATATGAAATTGCGTGTTAGTCTGGTTTCACAAGGACATTAAGCTTATATAATCAGTTTTCCCTCAGTAACTATTGAACCCTGATGACAAATTTCAACAAGATTTCACTAAAGGCTAACAATTTCAGAGACCATTAAGTTGCTGCACATTTTGTGACTATCAGCAGGCTAAGGAATGAATCCCTAACTTATTTCCCAGCTAAGACAGGGAAACGTGCTGCTGCTGCTCTCTCCGTTTGTTAGCAGCTCAGCAGACATCAAGATTTGTGTATCGGCTCGCCTGTTGGCAAGCGTGTAGTTGAGAATTAACGAGTGCACGGGTAGCTGTGCAGTAGCATAGCACTTGCCAGCTCTTGCCTCGGAGTGCTTTAGTAGAAGACTTCAAGGGAACAGAGGTTACTGTGGTGGGTACTGAAAGGAAAATTGCAGAGAAATTCTTGGAAAACCATGTTTTCTTGGGTTTTATTGCTTGCAGAACTGACTTCTGCTGTGGAAAATAATTCTGTATTCACAGTAGAAGTGCTTAGTCCTATTTTCTTTAAATTTATTTATTAATTTATGTTTATCCATGGGTATACTTTTCTTGCAGTGGTGTGATGAGAAATTCAACTTCCAAGCTACGTTTTTACAGTGCTTGGCAAAACATGTGCCAAATATTTACTCTGCTGAAATGGACCCCTTGCTGGAGAAACAAGAAGAAATGGTCCAGGCAGCAGTATTATACCCCCTGGAATGTTATTTGTTTGGGGAAGACCCAGATATATTCCTGGAGAAACTACAACAGAGTGGAACCTCTCAGCTCTGTGGGAAGGTGTTCAAAGGAGGGGAGACAACATACTCTTGCAGGTAAGAATGAAGGGAGCACATGAAGCTAAATATATGTTTGCTTTAGGCTTCTAAAGTGCTAAAAATAATAGATACTCTGAAATATTGAAATCTAGATGTCTTGAATTGAGCAAAATATCTTGAATCTAACAGGCACTTCTGGCTTGATTTTTCTTTCTTTTAACTTGCCTTGCAATAGACTTATGGTAATAAATGAATGTTAGTGAAGTATTAAATTGTTGTAATGATGATTCTAAAGGTTTGAAAGGAAATTCATTCTGTAATCAGAATTACTGTACTATTTTAGTTGCATTGTAACGGAGGCTTGAACTAGCTGTTGAACAGCGGCATAAAACAAAACTGGATATGGTGTCATTAAACTCTTGTCATCCACATTTTGCATAGAATGAAATAGCATTAGAGAAAAAGGAGTGACCAAGTTTTAGGGAAAAAAGCAGTATTAAAAAAGCATATTTGTATGTGGAGCATAGAGAAAATGGAATTAGATTGCCTGTGAGTGTAATTCTAGATTTTTCAAGTATTTGAGTGCAGGACTGAAACTGTTGAAAGTGAGTTTCAAGGTATATATCCTTTGGCTCATTTAGTGAAAGAATTCTCTTTAGACTTTTACTTCTGTTTAAGTAGTTTAAGTTTAAGTTTAAAATTCAAGTTTAGAGACATAACCAGAAGTGTAGTAAAAGTTTCATTAGCAAACTGGCTACAGTTGTTGGAAACAATAAAGGTTACTTCAGAGTCCTCATGGTTTTTAATAGCTGCTTATTCTTAGCAAAACCAGAAACTTGTTAGCAGCGGGTTTTGAAAGTGGAAATCAAGCATGCTTCTGATAGAATCTGATGTAACAGGTTTGAATACATGGTTCAAGCCTAACCAAGACCAGCTTCCATCATCTTCCTGTGATGTGGTGTAGCCAGTGTTTTTATGATTTGAATCTGTTGTTAATATTTTTTTTTCAGAGCAGTATTTTCTTTTGTACATGAAATTTCCGTATGTTTGTTTTAGGAAGATTTTCAGTTACTCTTTTTGTTGCAGAGATTGTGCAGTTGATCCAACTTGTGTACTCTGTATGGACTGCTTCCAGAATAGTATTCACAAGAACCACCGGTACAAGGTAAAAAAATCTTATGTTAAGAAATTGTACTTGGAGCTTCAGAGAAAGCTTTTAATTGATGTTATAATAAACTGCATATAAAACATGAGTAGTTTTCATTTTAAAAAAAATAAATCTGGGATTTAGTAATTAGTTAATTATCTCTCTCATGTTGCTAGCTATGTGAATTCTCTTTTAAGAACAGTAACTTTCTAATTCAAGAACCAAAAGGTGAAGGAGTGTTTATGGATGCATACATTGTTATTCTCTCTGGCAATATCACAAAAGTGTACGTCAGAGCAAAAAGCTGTGACTGAAAATGACAGTCCTGTCCTGAGTCCCAGTCAGTACTGTTTGGAAATTTAGATTTAGTGTGCATATACCAGGACCATTACTTCAGCACGTTTGTCACTGATGCAGTCTCTGCATTTCCACTCTGTTCCTTCATTTAGATTTGCGTAAACTACTTTGCACTTGGTGTACAATGATAAAATTTAAACAAATGTTAAGCATCAATTGTTCCGTTGAGGAGATTGTTCTAGATCTGGGTCGTCTCTGATATCCTTTTGATTCTCTTTGAGCCAAATGTATGTTTCCTTTAAGAGATTCCCATACCTTAATTAAAGAACGATCTTTCAGATAATTCATAGCTAACTCACTGCATAAACTGTTATCTACTTTTTCCTTCTTAGGCCCCCTTTTTTGCTTGCCCTCTTCACTAAGAACTCTAATTTCAGCAGCCTTGGAAGCAGAAATGGAAAACAATATATTGTCATTTTTAAAGCTGGTCTAACTCTGCTGCAAGAGGCAAGAAACATGTATTCAATTCAATTATCTTTCACAACCAAAAAGTGGGCTAGATGTTATTTTTTTGCAGGTGTTCCTTCTCTTCACTGGCATGGCATCCATTTAAGAGATTTGTCTTACTTGTATTATCAATTGGTCATAAATCCCCTTTAATATGT